CCGGCCCCGCCGCCGCCGTGGTGCCGTGCGCGCCTGGGCGGAGGCGCGCCGCCGTCGGCAGCATTGGGGTGGTGACTGTGGCCAGAGCCTGGAGGCTGCTCGCCGCCGCGCCGCGCCGCGGCTGCGGCCTTGCGCTCGGCTTTCGACCCCACGACTTCCCAAACCTCCCCGCCACCGCCGCCGGGCCCCGCCAAGGGCCCTGCCCCCTCAGCCGTTGCGGCCCCGCCCGCGCCGCCGCCACCTGCGGCCCCGCCGGCGCTGGCCGGCGGCGCCGCCTGCGGGGCGGTGGGCGGCGGCGTGCGCGGCGCGGCCGCCTCGTCTGCCGCAGCAGCAGAGTCTGGGCCGGGCGGCTTCCCATGTGAACGGGCCGGCCGCGGAGAAGGGGTCGCCTTGACATGCAGCCCCGCGGACGTCACAGCTGCCACTGGTTCAGCCACAGCACTGAACTCCTTCTCCTGCTGCTCGTCCTCCTCCTGCTGCTGCTGCTGCTGCTCCTGCTGCTCCTTCTGCTGCAGATGGCGCTCCCCCTCCGCCGCCGGGGCAGCTTCTTGGACAGCAACAACCGCTGGCGCCGCCGCCTCGCCCGCCTTCTTCCCCCTCTTTTTCTTTTTCCTGCCCGCCGCCCCCGCCTCCCCCGCCTCGGCGCAAGCGCCTCCGCCGCCGCCACTGCCTCCGCCGCTGCAGCCGCCGCTAGCAGCGCCGCCTCTGCCGTCTGAGAGGAGCTCCAGCAGCTCGGCCTGCCGCGCCGCCGCGACGACCTCCAGCGCCGCCAGCCGCTCCCTGAGCAATTTCTCGGCAGCCGACCCCTTGGGCGCGTACTCGAGCGCGGTGCGGCCGCGGCGGTCGCGCGCGCCGATGGCGGCGCCGGCGTCGAGGAGGGCGGCGATGGCGCCGGTCGCGCTGCTGCCGGCCGCAAACATCAGGGCAGACCTAGGCGTTGGGGTTGGGGTTGGGGGCGGCTGACGCTGAGGCAAGGGCTTGGCGCTGGCTCAAGGGCCTGACAGGCGGTAGGCCGGGTCATCGTATGCCGGGTCATGGCTGCCTTTTTTGCACGAGCACACACGCACACGCGCACGCACACGCACACACGCGCACACACACACACACACACACACACACACACACACACAAAAGCACGACACCTACACACACCTATACACACTACACACCTACACACACTACACACACACAAACACCCACATATGCCAGCACACATATGGGCTAGCACACGCGCACTCGCACAGTCCGCCGTCCCACCTGCCCAGCGCATCCTGCAACTCCACACTGGCCCCGCCCTCCAGCAGCACGCGCAGCGCGCCGACGCCGTCCGCGCACGCCGCCAGCATGAGCGCGCTGCTGCCGCTCGGCGCCCAGGTGTCGGGCACCGCGCCGGCCGTCAGCAGCTCCAGCATGGCGTCCACCTGGCGCGGGCGGCGGGGCACGTAACGCGCGGCACACGCGGCACGCGCAGCACACGCAGCGGGGGAGAGGCGGCGTCAGCGCGACGAGCGGTGACGGCGTCGTGTCCAATAGCGTCATGTGCTTGCACAGGCGGCTGTGCGCCGGCCTTATCAGGTGGCTCTCCGGTCGACACAACATGCGGCACGCACTGCCCCGGCTTGGCACCCGCTCAGGCGCCCCAGCGTCCGCCCGCACTACGACAGGCTCCGCCGGTCGCGACTCACCGCTGCGCCGCCGGCGTCACCCGCGCAGGCCAGCAGCATGGCGTTCAGGACCTCCCCCCGCCCGCACGCCGCGGCGACGTCGAGCGGCCGCTGGCCGCGCGCGTTGCGGGCCACGCACGTCTCGGGGCACGCCTGTCGCGCGGGACGGCGCGCGCGGGCGCTGTTAGGGTCTGGCCGCCGCAAATCCATCGTGCAGTTATACACACATGATCGTTGCGGTCCCAAGCAGTGGTCACGCTGAAAGGGCAGGCAGCGGCACCGGGCTGGCGGGGAGGAAGCGGACCGGCAGAATGAGGCTCGCGCGCCGCACAGCGGCGCGCGCCCAGCCCTGTCACCTTGGCGACTGTGTAGGCGCACATGGCCTGCCCATGCACCGCAGCAAAGTGCAGCGGTACGTCGCCCGCTGAGTCAGCAGCCCGGGGGTCCGCGCCCTGCGGCCGTCGGCGGGCAGCGAGATGAGTAAATGTCTTGTTGGGGCAGACAGCGCGATGGTTTGCAGAAGATTTCAAGTGTATGCATGGGTCCATCGGAGAGAGGCAAGCGGCACGTCTCGCCGCGTCAGCGTCCGCAGCGTCGCGCAGCTGCCGTGGCCGCCGCCGCCGCCGCCAAGGCCATCGCTCACAGGCACTGGAGGTGGCAGCACGTGGCGAGCGCAGCCCAAGGGTTCTGCCGCCCCTGCCCCCTCGCGCCCCCTCACCTTCTCCAGTAGGAGGTCAACGCACTCCTCATGGCCGTACCCGGCTGCAAAGTGCAGGCAGCAGCGCCCATCCTGATCCCGCACCCCGACCAGCGGGTGCGGCGGCGCCGCGCCGCGCGCGCC